CTGGAGTCCTCACTGGCCACCAGCATGCTCATCTCCCTGCAGCACAGCAAACACAGGGTTGCCCAGCAGTTCCCACCCCCCTGCCCTGATCCCCGACAGTCCCAGGTATTGCTGTCCATGTCCCGCTACCCTCAGGACAGGGGCCACCATGGCAGGACTTGCACAGATCCCCAGAGCCCTCTCCTCCATACACAGCCCTCTCAGCCTTCCTGGCCCAACCCCACCTGATCACCACACCACACTGCATGTGCACAGTGATGAAGTGGGAGCCAGTGCTGCCATTTGACTCCCAGTATGTCTTGGGGTTCCTGTCCGTGAGCTTGCTGGCCTGGTGTGGGTTGGAGGAGACCTGCACCTTCTCCCAACACTTGTCTTCCTTCACCTCCAGGCTGGACACTGTGGGGAGAGAACACAGACCCTCCAGCCACCAAGCCAGCGCAGGGGTCAGTTCCCACTCCCAGCACTCACCTCGGCACAGGTTTTGCAGGAAGACATCAAAGAAGGGTATGGTGATGGGCTGGTGACTCCGGCGGTGCTCCTCAATCTGCCCCAGGACCAGCTACAGGATGGGGCGAGGCTCTTACTGGGGGGCCTGGGTCCTTTCCCCTCCCCCACCGCAGAGCTGCGGCTGGCAGAGAGCAGAAGGCTGTCCCTCAGTGCCCTAAGACTCAGAGTCCCAGCATAGCTGGGCCTCCCCAGGCCCACCTGGATGCAGCCAGCCAAGATTCTGGTCATCAGCTTCTTGTAGAGGCTGGTGTACTTCTCACAGTCCGTCACCAGGTTGAGCAGGGCTGGCGCCAGCGACGGAGCCACACTGTGCTTTTCCAGGGCTTTGGACAGAGCCTCGTGGGTGCCCACGTGGCACATCACCACCACACAGTCCTTGCTGGCAGTGGCCAGGCGGTGCAGGAAGCCAACGACCTCCTGCAGCACCTGCCGAGCCACAGCCCTGAGCAGCAGGGGCGGTGCCAGGAACTCCCATGGCCCCCCCCAGCTGCAGGTGCTGCAGCTCCATCCCCCCCACCCCGACTGCACCAGTGCCCACCAGAGTCTGGCCAGGCACGTGGCCATCAGGACATGGACACGGCCAGGACAGCTGCTCCCCACAGCTGCACGTTAGACACAAGAAGGCCAGGCTGGGACCTGCTTCACCAGTGCTGGGCCTGGCCAATGCACGGCACAGCCAGCACAGCCAGCACAGCTGCCCTTGCCAGCCCGGAGTCCTAGGGCCCCCTCACCTCCCAGCTGCTGCTGTGGGCGCTCAGGGAGGACACACAGGGCTCCACACACTCGTGCCAGGGCAGCACATCCTCCTGATAACTGTCCAGGAACTTGTTCAGGATCCTGAGTGACAGAGGGTGCATGGACAGCAGTGCCAGAGGCAGCTCTGCTTCCCTGCCCCACTTGGAAGGCACCTCTCAGGGACTGGTAACCAAGGCTCCCCTTGTACCTCGGACACCCCATCAGCAGCCAGGCACGTTCTGTGCTGCCCCTGCACGTCCCCACCAGCACCCAGACACATCCTGCTCTGTCCCCACATGGCCCTGTACCCAGGACGACCCAATCAGCACCTGCTTATGTGTTGGGGTGCTCCTGCCCCTGCCCCTGGTGAAGAACACCCCCACCACGACCCACAAACATGTGCCGTGTCTCCCCAACATCACCATCAGCACTCACACGCCTGCTGAGGGGGCCCCAGACCCCCACCAAATCCCCCTGCACCCACCTGAGGATGCTCAGGCTCACAGCCTTCTCCACCCCCAGCAGCTCCAAGCTGCGGAGCAGCAGCCTGAAGCAGCTGTGGTCCTGCAGCAGCTGGGCCACCTGCCCAGAGGGGACAGAGCCTTCACCGCAGAGCTGCCGTTCCAGGGCCACCACCACCTCCTTGGACAAAGCGCCATCCTCCAGGCTGCCCAGAAGCATCTGCACACCTTTCAGGTCCAGTGGGGCTTCTCTGCCTGCCATGACAAGGACATGTGGGCCCAGCTCAGGCACCAGTTTGAGAGTCAGCAGCATCTCGGGGTGCTCTGCCCTGGCAGGTGAGGCATCCCTGCCTGCAGCACCCGTGGAGCCGTGGCATGGGGAGGATGGGCAGCGCGGTACCTGCTGCCTCCAGGCCCAGGGGCAGCCCGTGCTCTGCGAGGCAGTTGATGGCGCGGAGGGCCAGCACCGCATGAGGGCAGCCGCTGCTCTGCCCATCCCTCCAGCAGCTCTGCAGCACCGCCGGGAGGTCGCAACTCGCCAGCTGCTCCGCAAGGCCCCGGTGCCCATCCATCAGCATGTTCACCACCAGCAAGCCGTTCTGCACTCCTGAGGAGCCCCTGCAGGGATGAAGCCATGCGGGCGCTCTCCTCCCCCAGGCACAGAGCCTCCCCTGAACCCACAAGCCGTCTGCCTGCCGTGCTTGTTCCTCCCCACTGCGGAGGGTCCCCCCAGCCCCAGCTGCTGTCCGCACTCTGCCCCTACCCTGGGACCCTCTGCATAGTGCTCAGGGCAGCAGGGATAGTACTCAGCAGACTGGCAGAGCCCTCGCTGGAGGCAGAGCCGATGCTGGCAAAGATCTCCCGCATCATCTGCACGTCAGCATGGTTCCAGGACAAGGACTTCCCACCTCCTGGCTCACCATCTGCAGCTCCCACCAGCACCTTCAGGGCCTGCGAAGTCAGCAGCGGTCCAGAGGGCAGTGGGCATCTCCACCACACCTGGGTGAGCCTGCACACTGCCTGCCCACATACAGCATCCCCTCTGCCACTCACCGCCAGGCCAGCCTGCTGCACCAGGGCGGAGGAGCTGTGCTGCTGCATGCAGGCCAGCACGGCCCGCACGCCACCCTCTGTGGCAAACGGCACACGCCACTCGTGCTGCGCCATCAGCACGGCCAGCAGCCGCAGCGTCACCGCCACCAGCGCCTTCTCTGCCACCTCAGTGCTCAACAGCTCCACCGCCACTTGCACCAGCTTCTCCCTGCTCGGGAAAGGATACCTCAGGAGGAGCCTCCTGGCACTGCCGCTGGCACACCAGCACCTTGGGCCCTGCCAGCCACCTCCTCTCTGCCCACACGGCTCTGCCGCAGCTGGGTCAGCCCAAGGAATGAGCCTGCCTGAGACAAAGGGACACAAAATCCACTTTCCTCTTGCCAAGCATGCAGGGACATACCAGTCTGCACACTCCCACTGCCACCTCCGGTACTCCCAGCTCCAGTACTGTCCCCCACCATGCCGACACAGCCCTCCCCAGGCAGCAGGAGGGGTGTGCAGCACCCCACGGCTCACCCAGCGCTCCCGGTCCCCAGCCTGCCCTGGGCTGTGCCAACTTGCTGCTCGGACTTGGGCTCCTCCTCCAGGATCTTCAAGATTTGCTTGAGCCCAGCTAAGCGCAGCCCCACCGCTGAGCTGCTGCTCTCAATCATGTCCACCATGGCTGCAATCTCGGCCAGCGAGCCGCTCTCGCTCACCCCTTTGGAGCTGCCCAACACTGGCCAGAGGGAGGGAGGCATCAGGAAGCAGTAACACCCCCAGCAGCTTCCAGGGTGCCATGCACTCACAAAACCAGCACCCACAGGCACCCCACCAGCTGCCTGGC